CAATAGTTTGATGAATTTCGTCCTCAAAGACGATATAGAAGCATTCCCTACAGATCTAAAAGAAAGAATCTAAGCAATGTTTTAAATAAACATAATTATGTAATCATAAGGACATCCATGGCATCCACATAAGCACCCCTTTAAAGAAATCTAAGCTCATCACTGTATTCACTAACATCCACAAAACGAGATGTCACCATAAGGATAGAATGTACACGTTCAAAGGAACACAAATATGCAGTAATCACACAAGCTGTGTAAATAAAACATCATATAAACAAAAATCTTCACAAAAAACTCATAACAATTACACCAAAAGGACACCATTTCTTCACCCCCACTTTGCAGAACTACAGCAGAAACCGGTGACCTAACCTTAAATTATTACAATTAAGCTACCCCGAGTAAATTGAAATTCACTATAACATCACAACAAATTACAACGGAAGCGTGAAGATGGCGAGGGCAGGCGCACCTGTTCTAGGGTTTTGGGCCGCTTCAGCGCGGCCTTCCTCTCGCCGCACCTCACGCAGAGGCGACTCCCCGCCCTTGGCGGCGGCGGCCTCGCTCTGTCAGCGGCGGGGACGTCCATGGAGTGGAGTTGAAACCGAGGTCGCCGCGCCTGCGAGAACGTTCCGGAGGAGACAAGCAAACGCACCGTTGATTTCCGATCGGAGGGGTGAAGATAGCTCGACACGTAGATGTGCGCGCTACGGCGCAGGCGATTGGTCGTGCTACGCGGCTGGACGCTGAGGTGGTCTTGGTCGTGCTACGTCGAACTGAGACGGGAGCTTCGGACTGGTTCGAAGATACGGGCAGCGGCGAAGTGGCGGCGCCGCCGGGAGGGAGAGGGGAGGTGATCCAAGAGGCGGTTTGGGGGAAAGGCGCGAACAGTTAAGTGGGCTCCGGCTTTGGGCTTTTCACCCAACTAGGACCGATTTGAGAGGGCCAAGATTGAGCTGGATTCCGGCTTGCCCTGAATCCCTGATGGGCTGATGGGTCTTCATGGGCTAGATTGCGACCCAGTCTAGTTTTCTTCCAGAAAAGCCTTCTCTCAAGCCTGCCTGCCATTATTATGCAAGACCGTATTGCTTCACGTCACGTGCTACCTCGTACCCTACTGCTCAAGGAACTTTCTCTTTTTGTTGCACACACACTGCACATAAAGAGTGCAAGTGTTACCGTTACAATTTGCACAGGGGAAGTTCCTAGTAGCAAATGTCAATTATTATTCACAGCATCTTTTTACACTAATTGTGAAAAGGTGGTTGCTTTTTCCTATCACCGGGGCGAAAAAGGAGGGAATATTTCGTTTCTACTCATCCACCCCTATCATGTAGGAAATCATGGTATGGCACTTTTGCGCGATCCATCATCTCCCCACTAATCAAACTCTCTTTGAGCACCTTTTCCTCCTTTTTACCCGTCTCTCTCTCATCATCATCACAAAAGCTGTAGCTACTGGTCTTAGCAGTCATCTCGCCATCCATCCATGCATGCATATTATCACTATGGACATGTTAGATACCCATAGTCACCTAAACTTTTGTTCAAAATATTTGAATATATAGGTGAACTAAAGGTAATTTATTTTTTATTTTCATGTAACTACTAATTCCATTAGTCGGGAAATGTGAATTAATATAAACTAAAAGGTCTATGTGAGTCTTCGTCTAAGAAAGTATCATACTTGCATTTAGTCCATGTATCTAACCAACACTAAACTAAACTTTAGTCACCTAAACTTTTATTGTAAATGATCGAGACAAGGTAGCGTATGATAGCGCAACTAATGGAAAAGCCGTCTGCACAAAATCGCCAGACCTTTTTAGCCTACGCCGTGCCGAAAATTAAAAGGGAAAAAAACGAGGAACGTGATGGTCGGTAAAAGCGGGAGTAACTTTTGTTAGTATCGTAATGATGACGCAAATTCAGCCTGGGAAAAAAAGATCCTCGGCGCCGCCCGGCCGTCAAAGCCTCAAAGGCGATCATCGGTGCGCACGGCCCGGTCCGACGATTCCACGGCTCGTGAGGCCATTTACGCTTGGCACCCAACCGCCGCCGCCGGCCAAAGCGCCCGTGCGCATGATGGCCATGAATGCCGGAGTGGCATGGCGGCTTGCATTGCTCGCATGCATGCTCTGCCTCCGCCGTCTCCGTGTCCGTGTGATGAACCACGGTCACGCCGGCTCACATAAATAGTCGCCGTAAACAGATCACGAGGGGGGTCCGGCCGTCCCGTGCGCGACGGCAACGGGATCACGCCTTCCGTTCCGTCCCACGCGCAAATTCATGGCGGTGCCGTAGGACGACGGTCGTAGTACGGAGATACGCATACTCATACTCCTACACTGGTGACTGGTCCCAGTAACTAACAACTAACCGCATTAGAATTTACTACCACGTGCCCTAGCTGGGACGACTGGGAGTAACAGGGGTCGCACGCACGCGTGCATGGACCTGGGCTGTCGCCTCGCCTGCACGGCAGCAGTTCGTCCCTGTGTTCTTCCCATGCATCGATGGATTGAGCCTCTGCACTCTGCTCGGTAGATCTGGAGCCTGTTGAGATCGATCGATGTCAGTAATTTGGACCGTTCCGAGTTATGGACGCCGGCGGTTGCCCCAGTAACGAGGACAGATCTGGAAGGGGGCGGGGGCGGGCGCAGCAGACAAACGGAATCTTGATCGAAGCTGGCCATGGCCAGGCCAGATGGGGCTGCTGGGAGGGAGCAGGAGCACTGACAGCATCGATCGGCAGCAGAAGCCAAAAAGCAACGCAACAGCGGCGCGGCAAGTACCCCTTGGAAAGGATGCCGTTGATTCCCACGGCCGCGGTCGCGCTGGGCCGCAGCACGCGCCGGTGCTAGATTCCGATTCGATCGGCTATGCAAGTGTCCCGCGCATTTTGCCCTGACACTGACCGCCGTCTCCTCGCCTCGCCTGGTCCACTCCGCTGCCGACGTCGCCTCCAAGTAAGCCTGCCAGAGTCACCCCCATCCATATCTTTTCTAGTATATTTTTTTTCCTCTGAAATGGCACGAGAACCACCCGTTCAGAGATAAGATAAGCTGATTTGATGAGGCCACCATTGAAGGAAAGCAGATCTACAAGCTCAATGGCCTGTTCACTTGAACTTATCAGCCGGTTTATCGTTAGAATCTACAGTATTTTTCTCTCACAACAAAACAGCTTCAGCCGACTTTAATAGCAGCCGAACATGCCTATACTAGCTTTATCACGCACCAACTTGCATGCAACCCAGATTGGCGGTTGCCCTCCGTCAGTCCAAGCAGGTTGCGGCTAAACAAGCGTGGACAGCGAAGCAGATGATTCTACTACTCCTCCTACATCCCAGTAGCGCTGCCTGCGCTGGTGTAGCCAAGCAAGCAAGCATCGGATTCCTTCAGAAAACGGCAAGCAGCGTTTGTCGGTCATAGGATGGCGCCATACGTACGTACGTACAAGCGAGAGAGCGATCCGGCACGGGAGGGAGAGGAGAGGATAGGCCCGGAAAAGAACAAACCGCCGGAACAACTGCCAGGACCCGTCCATGCGCTCCGCTTTCACCCGCCCACGCCGATCTGCTGTGGCGCTTTCACTGTGCCTGTGCGCCACTGTCACTGTCCTTGCCTGACCACGACACCGCGTCCGTTGCGTTCGCACCGACCCCCGTCCCGTTGCATGGCGGGCGACTGCTCAGTCACAGGACGGTGCATGGGGATTGGGGACCGACCGTCTGCGCCGGGAAGGGGAGGGAGAGGGATGGTTGGATGATGATGCCAAGTGCCAAACCAGAAGGTTCTTGTGCTGCCAACAAAGGTGCTGCCCAGGCTGGGGTTTTCATTGATGTTTGCTCTGTAACATCTCTGCTGCCCAGCTCTGACCTGATTGTGCTTGTGCCCCCGCCAACCCCGCCCCCGCCCCCCCCTACTGCTGTTTTCTCTGGCACCGGTGTAATTGTGTTGGCTATAGAGATTACGGTACTACTTACTGGAGTACTACTGCCAAACGAACAATCTCTTTAGTTACTAGTACAGCAGAGATGTTCAACTTGCAGGTTTTTTTTTATCCAACTAACTAACACAGCTCCTTTGCTCTACAGGCATAGTCAATGGTTCTATAGCAGTGCTACTTCTGAGATTCCTGAATGCAGGAAGCACGATCCGATGTATGCTTTTCAGGTCTGGTATGTTTCTTGGGTGCAGCGTACTTCTGTCATCTCATCTGGAAATGGATAGCACCATTGCCCATGTTCCCTGGGAGCCGATCTCTGCTGTTACTTACTCCAAGTGTCAGTTTTTTTACTGTGTATTAGTACGGACTAATACTCTAGTAGTAGTAGTAGTTGCAGCAGGCAAATAATATAAGCCCTGTTTGTTTAGGCTGGTTTGGCTTATAAGCCATGATTGAAAGTATCGTTGGCTGATTTGGTGTGAGAGAAAAATAATATTTGTTGGCTGATAAGCCATGACTTATAAGCCAAATACGACCGAGTGAACAGGCTGATAGCTTATTGCTTATATTATATCATTCATGGATGGGCTTTTTGTCTGAGGGACATCCAGAAAGTTTGGTTTTGTGTAGCACACACCGCACTCATCATTTTTGCCTGTTGGACATTATGAAGACGGAGTTTTAGTGTATCACACACCGCATCAAATAAAAAAAGATTGTGCAGCCTGAGAGGAGAGTGAGGCCTGGGTAAACAGACCATTATGCCCTTGCAACAAGAATCAAGCCATTTCTCACACAGCACGCATATGCAAACTAATAAATTGTCAGCTTACATGAACAAGTCGCTGGCATAATTAAACTATATTTGGATACTGCGTTTGTTCGCGCACAAAATATTGGTTTGGGCTTACAGAAATTCTTCCATGGGTGACGAGCATGTCACACAGCAACCTAATTAGCATAACAGGGACCAGCAACTTAACATGTTGCAAATTTACATTGATTTGACATGTCAAAAGCCTTCCTCCGAATTACTAGCACACACATCAGGGCTGCATGAGTTGCTCCAGCGCCACTGTACCAAGCACCTCGGCTTCCTCCATTGCTAGTTTTCTTGCTCGGCTGTTAAGAAAAAAAAAAAGTAAAGATAAACAAAAATGTTGATTCAAATATCAACTTGGTCATATATATACATCAGTTCAAAGAAAACTGTGTACCTCCTAGTCAATGCTCCAGGACTGTTGTCAAGGTACAGTGGGCTTGATGGTCCTAGCTGAATTTTGAGTGGTGTACTAATTGTGTTGGCTGGTACTCCGTGACTTGTGACTTGGTCTCTTGCAATTTTCTTAGCTTGGCTGTGTAAGCAAGTAAGAACAAAAAAAATTAGTTGAGACGTCAAGTGAAGTCTGATAGTGATTAGGGTTAGTTCAAAGCATTTTACCTCCTAGTTAGTGCTCCAGGACTATAGTTAAGGTCCAATGGGCTTGATGGTGCTTGTTGCAGCCTAAGTGGAGTACTCAGGCTGGTTGGTACTACTTCTATTATGACTTCCTTATTTTTCTTGGCTCTCTTTTTCATAGGTTTTGGTGTACTTGAGCTGGCTGCTCCACCTGTTACTGTTATGACTTCCTTCAACTTTTTGGTTCTCTTTCTCTTAGGTTTTGGTGGTTGTTGGTATAAATTAATGCACACAGAATAATCCGTAAACGCACAGATATTATACCGTTGTAGCACTTCACCGAGAGTAACACAGTTTTATATCGAATCCAAAGGAACGGAGGTGAGAGTAACCAATTCTAACTTAACCCAACTTCACAATCAAGGCTAGATAATAGGAGCATAGAGGAGACTGCTAAGGTCTTCTAGTTCTAACTTTGGTAAGCTTTGTCTTCTATTATTCAATTCTGGGGATATTACTAGAGAAAACACAAGCAAAGTATGCTTCCTATAGTAACAAAGTCCTGCTAGGCCTACTAACGGGGGGTGGAGTACAGATGATTCAATGAGGCTATAAGAGTCACCCTCGCGAGCTACCACCGATCCAAAAAATAGGGTACATCCACGAATAACCGAGTCTAAGCACCATGCTTACACTACAAATACTACTTTAACCCAGGAGCTACAAGGATTAAAGTACCAAAAGAGAGTTGCAAACCTGAAGAATAATATGAACAAGATGCTTACTTGAATTAGAAGTCGATTACCAGATAAATCTTAGAAGTAAGCTTAAGAAGAACTTGATTCTATAAGGGTACAAGCCGTAGAGAGAAAGCACCGACAGGACGGGACTCCTCTAAAACTCTCCCCTCTCACTCTATCTCTATATCTCTAATACAAGACTAGATCCTATCGAGGACTAATCTTCTCTTAATTGCTAGCCCTGATCCTAGTGGACATATGAATTAGGGTTTCTAGCTTCTCAGCTCTCAGGATCAAATGAGGCATCTGCCCTGGGGGGTACAGGAAGATATATATAGGGCGGAGCGTCAATCTTGAGCCTTTGGATCAAGCCAACTTGAATAAATGGCTGAGATGCATCCTAGGAGGCAGTGGAGAACCGACATAACAAAGGGGATGATAGGTGAGGCCCACAGTAACGAGGACAGATCTGGAAGGGGGGGGGTTGTGATGAAGGGGGGGGGTTGTGATGAATCATGCTAGAAACATATATTCACCAAAGCTCGTGGAATTTATCAGTTTAAACCGCTAAGTCTATGTTGGTGATCTATTTTAGTCATTTATGCAAGGTATATTGACGGTTTGTGATGAATGTTAACTATCGTCAACAGTGGTGCTAGGGGAGGAGCATCAGAGTCATACACACACTACAAAAAAATTGGTTTGTATGACATAAGCACACTGTCATGGTAAGTACAAAATTGGTCATAAAAAGTGTCTTATGACAAAAAAAGCAGCGTCATGCCAGTCGTCATATAACGACCGTCACATAATGTACCTTGTGACGATAATATTGAGAACCGTCACAAAATGTTACGACCTTTTATGACGGTTGTGTTTTTTCGTCACATATTGTTATCTTTTATGACGACTGTAACTGTCACATATTGGTCAGTCAACGTGTCACCTAATGTACGAAACGTCATAAATGGTACGTGCGAGGACAGTCTCAGATAAGTTTTTTTGACAACACAGAAACGTCATATATAAGTATGTGGATTTTGTGACGCCTAGATTTTGTCTTGTTTTGTATGGTAGTTAGAGACATTTTGAGATGACTGTATGGCGCCACAAATTGTCCTCTCATTCATGACGAGCGTGGCAACCATATTCAGTGACGACACACTGATCTTTCATCACAGCTCATAAAAGCATAATACACATATATATATATCAGCCAAGCCATCATCCACAACATTCTCATCACAAGTCATAAATCATACACAATTCAGTCAAGCCATCATGCATACACATAAATTCAAGACCAGAAGACAGTGGTTCAACATGTTCCAGCACACTTGTTCCACCACATAGTTCTAGGTTCCATTAGGCATGTTCCACCACAAGAGGTTCAAACATATAGAGGTTCCACCACAAAGGTTCAAACATATAAATAGATTGCACATAGTTTTGACAAAGTTCCAACCACAGAGTAAGTTCTAGCAAGGTAGCAAAAGCTTAGGCAAAGGCATCATCCTCAGACACTGCATTCATATGTACCTCAATCTTTCTGAAGTTTCAGGACAGCTTGTAGCAGTGCATTAGTCTCTTCAAACTTGGTATGCATCCCCTTCACTTCCTCTTGGGTCTAATGCAGCAAACTTTGGTTTTCTTCAAGTGTGGCCTGTTGAGCTTGAAGCTGTGCTTGCAACTCTTCCTGCTTGCTAGCAGCTTCCTCTCTTTCTGCTTGGAGTGTTTCCTCAAACTGAGCTTGCAGGCGTGCTTGTGCGGCTGTCGATGTGGACCGGCCAGTCTTCGATGGTCAAGGGACACCAATGTTAGGAAGGAAGGTGGATGAACGACTGATCTGGCTAAGATAGTCAGCAACAATCTTAGAGGGAGACTTTTGTTCTTCTCCTTCTTCTGGCTCTCTTTCCTTCTCTACAACCATTTGTTCCTACATAAAATGAATCCACTTAATAACAAGGCCATACAACAGTGTTGAACCAGGCATTTACTTGAGTGCAGTACATGCATGTATCCATTGATTTTGTAACTTACATATATTTGATTTGCAAGAGGAGTACAACCATTTTTGGGACTACTCATACATTCCCCAAAGAAATCAACAGCATCTGGCTCCATGTTGTTGTACTTAGTCCTCTGCAGCATGTTAAAAACTTGGGATATAAGATTAGCCATAGATTATTTGTACATGCCAACAGCAAGATGCCAAAATATGTATGCACTATAGATCATACAAGTATTTGCCTCAGTATTTGCCTCTAGATTTTTTATGCCAACAACAAATACAATCACCAGCAAAGTCAACTAATTACTGACAGTTCAAGAAAAACAACACAGGAACATGCATCAATGCAACCTAGACAGATCAAGAATAATAACATGGCCTAAACAACACCTACTACTGATGATGATCATCTCTGATGACATAGCAATTCCTCTTGCAGATTTCAGTTTCAAATGGTCACCATAAAAGAATTGGAGCCTAAACACCTATTGATTATAGCTCACTCGGCACAGCGCAAATATTATGAACATGGGAGCTCATCTCAGAAATAATTGGAGCACGTGCTAACTTGACAATTCAAAAGCACATGGTAATTACTAAGCTACAAATGTACAGAAGACATAGTATCCGTACTAGGCTGTATCGATGGGCAATATAGGACCTAGCTCCAGTCCTTTGATGAAGCTGCACTTGGGCTCGGTTTACTTTATTCTTAGCACATTTTTCCTGCACCACATGCAATACAGAGTTGTCATTCACATGCATAGTTTGCATTGCATATTAACAAAAGCAGATAATTTGGGCATGGACCTGATTCTTTGGGTCACACCAGTACTCTACCAGCTTGGTCCATTCCTCTTTCTTCATTTTAGGTGGAGGTTGCTTGGCCAGCAACTGTTCTTCTGTTAGTGACCCATCGAAGTACTTCTTTTTCAGGTGATGCCTTGTCTGCCTTACTCCCCTCTTAATGATATCAGTGCATGTAGCTTTACTTGGTGCCTCATTCTTAACATCCACATCCAACCTTGACTGAAGCCACACAAATCATTTATTAGATACAATTTTTCACATGGGAGTAGAGTAATGCAAGAGAGTATTTGGAGGAGTGAAATAGCTATCTCACCGCCACTTTGTAAAGCACTTTTTTTACTTCTGCCTTTCCCGCATCATTGTCATAAAGCTTCCATGATGTGTAGATGGGCATGTTGTCTCTAAGGGCAACACCAGTTTCTGATGCCAGCTTCGTTGCCTGAAGTGGGACATCATGTCTTTTCTTCCCTTCATCCACTTGGATAGCCCGCTTCTTTCCTCTATTTAGCATCTTCTCTAAGCCATGACCCATGGTTTTCTTGCGGTCATTCTTTGGGGGCGCTGCATTGGCAAATAATGATCAAAATGTGTTATTAAAGCAGTAATAATTGTAGATAATGAATAGAGAAACAAATGCTTAGAAACTCGTATTGTTTACCTGGAACTAAGTCATCTCTTGGTTCTCCTTCATATGTATGACCCTCTGAATTAGCGGCATCAAATTGCTCAGCTGACTCATTGATGTCATTGCTTTGCCTAGAGCTCTGTCCACCTGGTGAGGTGTCTGCAGGAACTGCTTGGTTAACACTAGTTGTGGGAGTAGGTTGCTGAGATAGGGTAGCAGTGGCTCTAGGAGTACTATGCTCAGTGTTTGCACCAGGCGAAGACATGGCTACACTGGACCTGGTGAATCTAGGAGGACTAGGTATTGTGTTTGCACCAGGCGTAGACATGGCTACACTGGTCCTAGTGAATCTAGGAGGACTAGGTACTGTGTTTGCACCAGGCGTAGACATGGCTACACTTTTCCTAGTGTATCTAGGAGGACTAGGCTGTGTGTTTGGAATAGGTGAAGACATGGCTAGACTGGTCCTGGTGACTCTTGGAGGAGTATGCACTGTGTCTGTAGTTTTTGTGGTGTGGCTACCGCTTGTAGTGAGGTGGCCTTGTAGTTGGCTGCTACTGGAAATGACATTTGGTTTTGGGTTGGCTTTTCAAAGTGTTCTTAGGAGGCAAGGGATGTCTTGGCCTAGGCGGTGGACGGCCTGTAGGCAAAGGCATGGCTGCACTTTGCCTAGTGATTCTGGTTGGCGTGCGCGGTGGCTGCTGGTTTGCAGCCGCCATTGTTGCCACCTTTTGCTTCTTCTGCTGCGGGCGAGTTCCTGGAACCATTGGTCTTTCCTGGCAAGAGAAAAATGCATCTTATTAATTATGAAAGAAGTGTCAAGTAGATTAATTAACTACAATGAAGTATATATGTTTCAAATGGAGAGACCAAAAACTTGTTAATTGTCCGAGTAATCCATCTCACCTCAGTATTGACCTCATTATTGAGGTCATCATCAGAATTATCATCACTGTCAGATTGGTTATCAATGTCAGATGAAGGATCATACTCAGTGTTAAATTCTGGATTGTCAGATACTAGTCTCTTCCCTTTGCCCCCTTTCTATTTTGAAAAAAACATCGCTAACAGTCTGAGCTAACATCGGAATATCGAAAGACTTAAAAACTTCCTAAACAGCCTTTACATTTGCATCCCTCTCCTGCTCGTACTTGGTTTTTGTCATTTCTTGTATTACTTATTACGACCAAACGTAGAAAGTGCAGAAACTGGATTCAGTTTCTGTAAAAGAGTTGAAAAAACCTAACAGATCAGTAGAGAAATTGTAAACGAACCAAAAGGAGCAGTCTAATAGTTAGTCAAACCATTGAAATTGTAAATGAAACAAAATGGAGCTAATATCCTACTGCTTTGTGTATCTTGATACAAAGAGCATGTCGGGGTGCCTTTTTCTATGGGCTGTAGATGCAGCTAATATCATATTTCAATAAACATGTCACAAATTCATAATTCTTTTCTTTAGCATGTCGGGGTGAATAAAACAAGTATGAAACGGTAGTGCATTAACCAGCAGTCCTGCACTAACGCTTAACAACTGGTGTTGTCATACATGTACAATTTAAATGATTGTTTACATTTTATCATCTATAACACAGCAAGGCCAAAAGGCCATTCATGGTCTTTTGTGCTTCCCCACAGAAGTACTAGTGCAAGAAAGGGTCTAACTAACAAAGAAACCTCTAGGAAGCAAATAATTCTCCACATCTGCCGACCAAGGTAACAGGAGCTACAAGTTAGGGGAGAAGGGAAAGCAAGAAATGTTTGAGGAACTAACCAAAGCTGGCCGGAGGGGGACTACGCAGACGACGAGACCAGGGCTGGGTAGACGACGACTGGAGGAGGAGGTGGCGCTCTGTGCGGAGCCACAGAGATCAGCCCACGGACGGAGTCAGAGCTGTCGGTGGCAGGATGGGCCGCTCCGGCCTCCGGCGTGGCGGGCGGGGTGGTGGCAGCGGAGTGGCGGCTGGTGGTGAGTGACGGGCGGGGTGGTGGCGGCGGAGTTGCGGTGGGCGGGGTGGTGGCAGCGGAGTGGCGGCGGGCGGTGAGTGGCGGTGAGTGGCGAGCGGAGTGGTGGCGAGCGGTGTGGCGGTGGCGTGGCGGCGAGTGGAGGGAGGAGAAGGAGATTGGGGATTTCCCCTTGGTCTGACCCGCGGGCAAGAGGATAAGGCCGCGGGGGGAACTTGGATGCCTTGAGCGGGAGGCGTGGTGGGGCCCATGTGTCGACGAGCGAATCAACGCGGGAGAGTGTGAGGTGCAGCTTTGAAAATTTGGCCACATTTTTGTCCTGGCGCAGTGGGCCCACTATGTCAGTGACCGTTTTAGTAGTATTAGGACTTCAAATGGATTTTTTGGCTAATAAACGATTGAAAATGGAAACAATGTCTGAAACAAAGTTGTACAACGCGTCGAGATCTACCAATTTGGCTTTGGTTATTTCTTCGCATGACTTTGTTTCGATAGTTTGAAATTTGAATTTCAAAATATTCAAACTTCTAACAAAAATTTGGGGTACTAAATAATTTCAAATTAAAAAGTGATGAACACAAAGGTTGCACAACCCATCAAGACCTACAATTTTTGTTTTGGTCATTTGTTCATCCGACAAAGTGATAGTAACTTTGTTCACAGAAATTACATCTCTCACTTATAGTTCATGAAACTCTAACAGAGAATGTAAAATTTATGAACTAAGTTACTACCACTTTCTCAGATGAACAAATAACCAATACAAAAAATGTAGGTCTTGATGAGTTGTTCAACTTTGATGTTTGTAATTTTTTTAGCTGAAATCATTTGGAGTTTCAAAATGTGGTGTAAAGTTGTATTTTTTTATATTCAAATTTTGATTTGTTCAAACTTTGACACATGATGATGGAGCCAAAATCAACGCTATACATTGATAGATCATGATTTTAGAAAATTTTAGGAAAAAACATCAGATTTGGAGCTAGTATGTGGGAGAAAAACTTGTTAGTAGTTTTTGCCATAGATCAAAAAAAGAATTGATGTTTGCACCACATGGGAGGCTAATGAGCATGCTAGGCCCGCATGTCATTGAAACTTTGGACCACATGGCACTCAAGGCTAATTAGCTGGAGCCCGGCGGCTAAAGCCACCTGCAGCAGCCACCACCCACCCTCACAAGCAACAAGCCCCTCCCCGCCTCCCCCCCCCCATCGCCAGCCTCGGCACCCCAGGCAGCTGCCCGGCGACCACAAATTGCTCCTCCTCTCACTGCCACTGCCCGCCCACCAGGCCTTTGGAGAAAGGAGCCTGGATCGGTGACCCTTGCTAGAGAGTGGAGACGTGCCGGCCACCCTTGCTAGTGCCGCGTCGGCCACCCGTGGTGGAGCCTAGCCGTCCACCCCACCGGAGCCCGGCGGCCATGCCACCTGCCTCCCATCGGCCCCCTCCCCCACCAAAGAGCAGGCGCCACCCACCCACCCTCAGCAGCAGTGCCCCCCCCCCCCCCACAAGCAGCAGCAGCTGGGCCCCCCCCCATCAAGAGCCTCGGCGCCCCCCAGGCAGCACAGGCGGCGACCACAGCTTGCTCCCTCGCTCGTGCCACACCACCACCACCGTCTTGGAGAATGGAACTTGCATCGCGACCCTCACTGGAGAGTGGCGACCCCTGCTGGAGAATGGAGCCTGCATCGGCCACCCTTGCTAGTGCCGCGCCGGCCACCCATGGTGGAGCCTGGCCGTCCACCCCAGCTGGAGCCTGGCCGGCCAAGCCACCTGCTCCCACATCTGCTGCCTCGGCCCCCTCCCCCCCACCAGTAGCAGCGTGGCCTAGGTCGAGATGGATAGAAGCTAGATTTATAACAGTGCCCCATTTACTGCGCCCTATTTGTCTGGTGTTGCACAATTCATGGAACATGTCAGAAGTAGATATAGTGCAGATGAGAAAATCAAGTGCCCATGACGAAAATGCCTGAACCTAATAGAAAAAGGCAAGGTGAGGTACAGGAGGATATCAAAATCAATGGTATGTCTAGGTCCTATACAAGGTGGATTGACCATGGAGAGGGAGATAATGATGTTGAACAAGATGATGATGGAGAACTCACTGTTGTACCTGAAGATATGTCATGGGAGGGAAATGACTAGGCAACACTTGATGAGGAAGGACAAGCTAAAGATGTCATAGAAGATAGTGCACGGGGAGTTCAGGGGTTGATTCAAGATTTGCACACTGCAGCAAGCCATGGCTTTGGTGGTAACTTATATAAAGAAATCATGGAAGAGGCAAAGCGTGAGCTTTATCTAGGTTGCACCGAGGAATCTAGGCTAACTTTCATTCTTAAACTGCTGCATATAAAAGTGTACAATCGGATAACAAATTCTGGGTTCGATGCTTTCCTTGAGTTGCTTTCGACATCTTTGATGAATGTGACCGGCCTCCCTAAGTCCTATAACGAAATGAAAGCTCTACTTCGGAAGCTTGGTTTTGGTTATGTTTGTATTGATGTGTGCAAGTATGATTGTGCCTTATTTTGGAAGGACCATGAAGACGATGATCATTGCCAGTTTGTGGCTTCACAAGATGGAAAGTGAACAAGGAGGGCAAAAAGAAAGTTCCTCACAAGATCCTCCGTTACTTTCCAATAATTCCACGCCTTCGAAGGCTTTTTATCTCAAAGCAGCGGGCACAGTAGGCAAGATGGCACAAGGAAAAGAGGGTACCGATTGAGAATGAAATGAGACATCCTGCTGATGGAGAAGCTTGGAAAGAATTTGATAATACTTTCAAGTCTTTTGCAGATGATCCCCGTAGTTTGAGGTTAGCCATTGTTACTGATGGATTCAACCCGTTTGGTCAGATGACCAATTCATACAGCATCTGGCCAGTGATAGTGGTTCCATATAATTTTCCACCATGGATGTGTATGGACCAATCCAATTATATGTTTGCTTTAATAATTCTAGGCAAAAAATCACCGGGCAAAGATTTCCATGTGTTCATACAGCCTTTGATAGCAGACATGCTAACTCTTTGGGAAGGTGTCCCTACTTATGATGCATATGAAGGCAAAGAATTCAGTCTACGTGCAGCGATTCTATGGGGAATCAATGACTACCCTGCATTAGGCACCATGTCAGGCAGAACTACTAGGGGTTACTTCGCATGTGTGCACTGTGATGAGAATCCATGCTCTGAATGCCTGAGAAACAAAATTTGTTTCATAGGCCATAGACGTTTCCTCCCAAACGACCATCCCTGGAGGAAAAACAGATCTTTCGATGGCCACCATGAAACTAGAGAGCAGCCAAGGAAATTTAGTGCAGATGAGGTTATGGCAAGGTTGGATGAAGTTTGCTATGTTCCAGGCAAAAATCCAGATAAGCCGAAATCAAGAAAACGACGCCATAATGGAGAATCAGTATGGCATCTGAAGGTTAGCTTGTATGATTTGCCATACTGGTCAAAATTGAAGCTGCAGTACAACCTTGATGTTATGCACATAGAGAAAAATATATGTGAAAACATTTTGTCAACTCTACTTAATATTCTGAACAAGACAAAGGACACAATCACTGCTAGACTAGATTTGGAAGACAGAGGTATAAGAAAAGAGCTTCATTTGCAGGAAGACACTGGTAATTCATCCTCAAAGCCCAAAGCTTGTTACGTTCTAACACCAGAAGCAAAGAAGAAGTTCTTGCAGTTTGTGAGCAATGTTAAATTTCTAGATGGCTATGCCTCTAATATATCAAGATGTGTCAATATGGAGGGAGGAACAATGCATGGGCTAAAAACACATGACCGTCATATACTGCTGCTGCGTATTTTACCAGCTGGCCTTCGTGGTTTGGTGCGCAAAGATGTATATGAAGTAATTGCTGAATTGGGTAGGTTTTTTAAACAACTTTGCTCGAAAACTCTAAAGGTTGATGCACTACACTAGATGAAGGAAGATATTATAATTATCCTTTGCAAGCTAGAGAAAATTTATCCTCCTGCATTCTTCGATGTTATGGTTCACCTAGCAGTACACTTACCTGATGAGGCACTCCTTAGGGGACCGGTTCAGTATGGATGGATGTATCCCATTGAGAGAAGATTGGACACCTTTAAGCGTTTCATCCGCAATAAAGCAAGACCTGAAGGATATGTTGTAGAGGCATACATTGCATATGAGTGTATGACCCAGTGCTCAACAT